GAAATATCTTCAATATTAACTAATTTTCTTCCTATTAAGAAAAACAATAGTTCAAAATAATTTGTCTCAAAAAGGAAAACTAAAAGATATGTATTAAAAAAAATCGAAAATAACTTGTAGCCGAGATCCCTTCCCTACTAATGACTAATTTTTCGAATGGCTGAGACAATGAAATTGTGTAAGCCATAACGATTTATTATGTATTTCTTCCTCTCTAAACATATTTACACACATAAATATTAAAAAAAATAAACAAAATAATGTTAATGGTTTTATTTACGAAATAAATAAAAATTAAAAAATAATATTTCTTCGAGAAAACCCCCTAAAATCAACAGCAATGTGTATTTTTTAATTTTCTCAAAATATTGCTCAAGTGAGGAAGGATGAGTCGAATATTTCACTGAAATACCTCAAAGAATTTTCCATAAAAATATTTTATTTAGAAACTTATAGGATTTCTAAAAAGTTATTTTAAAGTACTTCGTTGGAATTCGTTTGAATTTAAAGAAAACTACTGCATAAAAAGCGCCATCTATGAATAAATCATTATAAACCTTATTAAAGACTACAACTACTGAGGTTTCCGGGCGATGGATTCATACCTCAAAATCGATTATCTCCAACAATGTTGATCACAAAACCGAACTTAGCAGTAGCTCATGCAGACAAAATTATGAAATATTTATTTCGAAGAACTATATTCTTGATTTCACCGCCGTCAATCTCAGCATAGCAGCGTTCATTTGGAAAAAAATAAACTACCTTAACTATTGAGATCCTCAAAAAAACTGAAGCCAAGAATACTGCATAAAAAAGCTCCATCTGTGAATAAGTCATTATAAACCCTTGTAAAGAAGCCAGCTAATGCGGATTCCGGCAGTGGCCTTATATAATTCTAGCAAAGAACGTTAAGATCGACTATTTCCAACAAAGTTTTGTTAGTCACAAAACCGAACTTTGCAGGAGCTATTGCAGATTATAATTATTTAACATTTATTTCGATAAAAAAATATTTTGTTATTTTACCGCCGTTAAGCTCAGCATAGACGTCTACATTTGGAAAAAAATAAAAATACTTCAATAAGTGAGATCTGAGATACTACTGCATAAAAAGCGCCATCTATGAATACATCATTAGATACCTTTGTAAAGACGACAACTACTACGGATTCCGGGCGGTGGTCTCATATAACTCTTGAAAGAACTTAAAAATCGATTATTTCCAACGATGTTTTTGTTAGTCACATACCCGAACTAAGCAGCAGCTATTGCAGATAAAAATTAATTAATATTTTTTCCGAAAACCTAATTTTTTTATTTTACAACCTCACCATTGACGCATTCATTTGGAAAAAAAAATAAAAATACTACTACTAATTGGCGAATATCCCCAGATGAACTGAAGAAGTACTTATGGCAACATATAGTTACTTATTTTAAAACAATGCTTCATATGTATCCAGTTCTTACTTTTTGAAACGCCATCTATACGTCAGAAAAACAACACGTGGATTTGAACCCAACATACTCTTTCCTGACAATAAATGTCATGATGTGCAATTAATTGATCAAAGATCTGAAAATAAAATTAGCTTCAAGAATCAGTATTTGAATGCTGGTTTTACTTAACTTCTACTACCAAAGTGCATTATTGAAAAGCCATCTATAGGTCAGAAAAACAAAATGTGGTTGATGCAAATCCAGAGCTCATATCCTAAAGTCTCAGCAATAATAAATGTCATGATGTGCAATTACTTGAAATTACTGAGACGCTTCTATGATCTCTCCATCTTCCAAATGTTATGAACAAAGATCAGCATAACTAAGTCCTCTCGTTGGAAAAAGCTCCACCTATATGTGATTTCTAAAGAAGATACCTATGGAAAAATAATAAAATTTAAAAATGAAAAAGATTATGACACAACCTCTTTAAGGGACATACAATTTTTTGTCAACTACATTTTTATCCAGCAATACGAATTCTATTGGACTTCATGAAGATTTCCCTTCATAAGCAAAAATTGTACTTAGTATAAATGTTAAAACACTTTTACAGATTGGTAGAATTACAAAATGTGTTCGAAATACCCAATATAATAAGAATTGTTAAGACACGAAACCTGATGTTGGTATTGATTTCATAAGATAAAAAATCTTAGTCAGTATTTGTGGTAATCATAAAAACCAACGTCTAAAATTATCAATGCCACAATAATTGTACGTCACCCATATGCCCATATGGAGTTAGATGTAATTCCGAAGAAACAATATCTTATTCCGCATTAAAACGCCACAGATGCGCCGAGAACTCTCATGATGGTACTGTTTATGGAATACAATCAGCCAATTTGAAAAAAATAATCTTCTACTAATGACCTCTATACTTGAAATTGGAAAAAATCTTTTAATCAAACAATGCAGTTCAAAAATAATACACTCACATCATAGCCTGTATTTGTTTAGAATTATAAATAACAACAAAAGAATTTCTCAATTTTGCAATAGCTGAACTCCATCTGTATGCCAGAGATTCTCATATCGGATTAAAAAATCGGTTTTCAAAAATACAGAGCAGAACGTCACCCATACGCCGAGAATTGTCATGATGGGATTTGAAATATAAATATTTCCAAAGGTCCACGAAGATTTCTATATTTTCCAAAGAAAATTCTCTACACAAAGAATTCTCATGATCGAATCCAGTTAGTCCTGCCATCTAGAGTTCTCATTTAAGGAACATCATCACAAACGCCCTCTACACTCGATAATGGAAAAATATTCGAATCAAATATTGCGCAGAAAATTAATATAAAAAATCTTAAAAAAAACTTCACATTGATCTCAACTCCCAACGACAAGAAGAAACCAGCATTATAATGAAAAAAAAGTTAACACAGGACGCCATCTATTTGTTGCATTGAACGGATTTGAAAGCCAACAGCTTGTAAATTTATTCACTTTACCAATCATTTCAATGCCTACGTTTGAAGAAATAAAAATATCCAAGGACTATAATTACCCGAGAAAGATTCTGCATCGATATGAAGAACTATATTTCAGTATTTTGGCATATTCAAATATGAAATTTTGGTTTCCGAAAACAGTAAGCCTTTTTTCACATTAGGTTTTTAGAAAAAATATCAGTATTTCAGACGACGTTCTTTCAAGATTTGTCACATGGAAACTGTAACCAATGGACCTACTTAAGAGATATGTACACCCATATAACTAGAAATAACAAAAAATAACTCTGAACTCCATCTACACGTTTCGCCAACGACGCATAACGTAATAAAAGAATCGAAAGAAATATCAGAGTTAATTTTTGCCTAATTATCAAGGATTATCACCACGTTGCAAAACGCCACCTATATATGATATCAAATCCTAAATTAAAATCAATCTACTAAACAATATTCTCGCATCTTGGATCGTCCTCTTTTAGTAGGTGATAAAACAAATGTTTTTCTGCACAGAAAAATACAAAACACCATCTAATACAATGATGAAAAAGTATTGTTTTTTCTGGAAAAAAAATATATGCAAAACGCCACCTATAAATGACAAAACATAGTTGGATTTGATGATCATAAATTTTCATTTCTACATTTCTACACATGACAATTTTGGCATTAATCCAGGAGTTTATCCAAACTCAATTGAAAAGTTTATCCAAAACCTTCTTGACATCCTGAATACCTCATTAAAAATAAAACAACACTTGTGAAAAACAACGCCATCTACCTGTGGGATCGACCAAAAAAATCTCAGAATGGGATTACACCAAAGGCACTTATTTGCTATTCAAAACAAAAAATCTCAGAATGAAAACACATAAAAACCTCCCATTCACTTGAAAAGTTCATCCAATAAGGTCCGGACATCCTCAATAAAAAGACGCTGGCGAAGAAAAAACGCCATCTACATGTCGTATCAAGCCAAAAACATCGCAGTATGGAACCATACCAAAGCACTCACTATAATAATGAGAGATGAGTTTTTAATTTGCGGGTAATTAGCGGCAGAGATAATATGGAGATCTATTGGAGTGACTAAACTACAAGTTCGGTTAAAAAAAATTCCAAAAAGGCGTTTTGTTTAAAAGGCGTTGCTGGACACCTTCATTGAGTTCCTGAATCCCTGTTATGGAAAATATTATCGAAACCATCCTGTTTTACATGTTATGACTATGACCCTCCTTTAATAATTGAGTATTAAAATTATTAAAAATGTAGAAGACATACTGAAGGGCTATCGTGTGTTGTACGAAAACATAATTTGATTATTTATATATTTTGTATTTAAAGGAAGTTATCTGTTTTTTGGGTTTTTTTCTGGTTAAGGAAGATTCCTGTAGACTAGTGTACATTTTCTTTGAGTTTGATAAAATTTCACTGAAATCGTATTTAGGTACGTACGGGCGAGCGGTCTGTCACTTTTTATCCATTATTTCATCACCGTCATTTTTATTCGACCTCATCATAAATAGGATACTTTCGTATTGGTTGAAGGATTTCGATTGGAGTTTACCCATATTTTAAATCTTTTTTTTTTAATCACCACACTAATTCCTCCCACAAGTTCACCCACACCTCCTATATTTAATTGCCATAACATTGATATACATATATTTTTTCAAAATTTTCTTTTTCCAAAAACAAAACAACAAACCCTAAAAACATTCATACAACTGCATTTACTATCTAAATACTAATATATATTTAAATTTAACACAAAATTTTGAAAATGTTGGGCCGCAAAACACACATACATTCATATGTATGTTGGCATAAAAAAAACTTTCACGAAAAAACAATATTTTTTCTAACCAAAAAAACACAACGAATATTTCCATATAATGCGCGCAAACTAAAATATTAAAATGAAATTAACTGAAACATGAACAATAAACAATTATGAAAACTATAAAATAAAACGCCGAATTATAAAACATATAATCAACAACGACAAAAACAACAATAATGTATCAACACCAGGACCCGCTGGACAATCTGTGCCCGCACAGGTCCATCAGTCAGCAGAGGGTGTCTTCAAGGCAGAATTTGTCCCGAGAGTAGTGGGCGAACATCGCGTCCATGTCACTGTCTGTGGCATGGCAACGGCCGGAAGTCCATATGCAGCTAAGGTGAGTAAAATATTTTCTTTAAATTTTGAAATTCTACAAATATATTTTTAATGGTCAGAAGAAAATTTCCAAATACCAAATTCAGACTTTTTGATACCCTCCACCTTGGCAAGGAGGGATTAACTTTCGATATTCGGTATTTTGATCATTTTTGCCATATTTTTCTGCGGATTTGTCTAAAAATTGTTATTTGTAAGTAATAATGATTTCTAGCTCGTGTAGCGAAATATTTTATGTATAGGTCCGTCCGGTATGGCCCCCATATAACGGTACCTCCAGTTATTCGGTATTTTCATGATTTATGCCACATTTTTTCACGGATTTATTTAAATATTAGTCTTTGTAGGTCATAATGGGTTCTAATGTCCCAATATTGTCTAAAAATGGGTAATTGTAGTCATAATGGTTTCTAGCTCGTGTAGCGAAATATTGTACGTATAGGTCCACGTTTTGCTATAGCCCCATATAACGGTACGTCCCGATATTCGGAATTTCATGATTTTTGCCAAAATTTTTCACGGATTTGTTTACAATTTGTATTTGTTGGTCCTAATGGTTTCTAATGTCCATAAATTGTCTAAAAATTGGTAAATGTAGTCATAATGGCTGGTGTGACGAAATATTGTACGTATAGGTCCACGTTTCGGTATAGCCCAAATAACGGTACGTCGCGATATTCGGCATTTTCACGATTTTTGCCAATTTTTTTCAGGGATTTGTCTAAAAAAAAATCACGGATTTGCCCAGCTCGTGTGGCGAAACATTGCATATATAGGTCCACATTTTGGTATATCCCCTTATATAATGGTAACTCCCGATATTCGGTATTTTTATGATTTTTGCCACATTTTTCCACGGATTTGCCCAGAAATTGATATTTGTAGTTCATAATGGGTTCTAGCTCGTATGACGAAACATTGAATGTATAGGTCCACGTTTTGGAATAGCCTCATTTAACGGTACCTCCCAATATTCGGTATTTTTATGATTTTTGGCAAAAATTTTCACGGATTTGTCACCGTTATATGGGTGTTATACACCATATAACGGTAACTCCCGATATTTGGTGTTTTGTTAATTCTTGCAACATTTTTTAACGTATTCGCCCAGAAATTAATATATGTCGTTTATAATGTGGAGATTATTAAAAGTTCGGCTTAATGTTTTTATACCCTCCTCCATACTATGGAGGGTATATTAATCTTGTCATTCCGCTTGTAACTCCTCGAAATACTCACGTCAGACCCAACAAAGTATATATATTCTTGACCAGCGTAAAATTCTAAGACGATTTAGCCATGTCCGTCTGTCTGTGTGTCTGTCTGTCCGTCTGCCTGTCTGTCTGTCTGTCTGTTGTAATCACGCTATCTTTCGAACAAATTGAGATAGAAGGCTAAAATTTTGCACATATGTATATTTTGCCAGTAGGCAGGTTAAGTTCGTAAATGGGTCATGTAGGTCCAAGTTTTCATACAGCCCCCATATAACGGTACCTCTCGATATTCGGTATTTTGATGATTTTAGCGACATTATTCACTGGAATTGTTTCAAATTTGGCATTTGAAGTTCGTAATGGATACTACAGCCTAAGACAGAAAATTATCTGTGCAGGCCCACGTCTTCGTATTGCCCCCATATAACGGTACCCCCCGATATTCGGTATTTTGATGATTTTAGCAACATTATTTAACGGAACCGTTCCAAATTTGGTATTTGAAGTTCGTAATAGATACTGCAGCAGAAAACAGAAAATGGACCATGTAGGTCCACGTCTTCGTATAGGCCCCATATACAGTACCCCCCGATATTCGGTATTTTGATGATTTTAGCGACATTATTTACCGGGATTGTTTTAAATTTCGCATTTGAAGTTCGTAATGGATACTTCAGCCCATGCCAGAAAATTGTCTGTGCAGGTCCACGTCTTCGTATAGCCCCCATATAACGGTACCCCCTATATTCGGTATTTTGATGATTTTAGCTACATTATAAACAAATTTTTCTTCAAGTTTCGCATTTAAATGTTGTAATAACTTATGACAAAAGTTGCCTATGCAGGTATACGTCGTCGTATAGACATTCGGTATTTTTAAGATTTTAACAGAATTTTTAAAGGATTTTTTTATTTTATTTTTTTTTTTTTTGGAAATTGCCAAATTTGTACCAAATGGTGGAGGGTATTAACAGTTCGACCCGGCCGAACTTACAGTTTTTTTTACTTGTTACATTTTTCAAGTTCCTTCCAAATGCTGGAGGAATTAAAGGTTCGGCTTAGGTTATCTTTTACTTGTCATTTTCTCCACCCTACAATGGCTAGTACATTAAATTTGGCAACACCTCGAAATATTCGCTGGAGACCCCAAAAATATATAAATTCCTGATCACAGTAATATTTTAAGGCTCTATCGCTATTTCCGTCCGTCTATCTGTCTGTTAAAATTACGATAGAGTCCACAATATTTAATCTAGAGCCTTGGCATAAAGGTTTATATTATATGCAGGCATACTTGTATTGAAAATGGGCTATATTTGTCCCCGTTTAGGTATTGCCACCATAAAACGCTACCTCCCGAATTCGGAGGATTCTGCCAACATTTCCGACTTAATTAGCTGAAACTTGAAAATTGGGGCTCAATCGACTAAAAATAAAAAAAAATAGTGTCTGATTTCACCTTGCGAAAATTTTTCGATTAAGGCCAACGAATTGGCATAGCTACCATATAACGGTACTTCCCGGCTTTTGGTATTTTTGAAGTTTCTGCAACAATTTCCAACCAAAATTCCAAATTGACACTTGGCATTAGGGTACTTGAAGGTATTTTCTCTCCTTGCGGAAGATGTTAAATTCATGCATAGCCACCATATAAATGTGCCTCTAAATATTGGATATTTAATGATTTGTCTTATTATTATCTTAAATTTGGTGTTTGTAATTTGTAATAGGATCTGCCTTCGTTGGCAAATAACGAGCTATAGAGGTAGAGGCAAAAAATTGGTAGAGTTTTTTTGACACTATTCCTTCCCCTTAAAATCAATTAAGCGTAGATGTATAGCTTATTCTGAGTCTTGTAGAGAAATTGGGTTAAAAGATATAATCTTTTGAACATTTCTGGATTGTTTTTTTTTTAATAACTTGCTTATTTGATGAAGAATATTTTTGTCTTCAGGATGAGCCTGATGATGAGCCTCAAAAATTATTTTTTTTTAGTACAATTTTACATAAACTCAGATGATACTAAAAAACACTTATTTTATAATTTAAAGCTTATCTTCATTAGTGTCTTTTAATGTACAGGATATATTTGTTATTGACCTGTCTTTAATTTATCCTCTTCTCCCCCGCCCCCAGGTTTATGACGTCAATGCCATCAAAGTGAAAAATGTGAGCAATGGGACAGTTGGAAAACCAGTTACATTCCTAGTGGAGACCTCACAGGCCGGTCCCGGTAACCTGGAGGTCACCGTCAATGGCGGTCGTGTACCAACATCTGCACAGGCTCAAGGACAGCATACCTATGCAATTAGTTTCACACCGCGCGAAGCACAAAATCACACTGTCGAACTACGTTTCAATTCTCAAGATGTACCCGGTTCGCCTTTTACCTGCCGCGTATCGGCAGCTGCACGCATACAATCACCCGAAACAATGGATAAAGTTAGTGTGGGTCGTATGTTTGAGTTCGTTGTGGAATCGGATACTAAACCAACCGTTGAGGTATTGGGTCCAGCTCGTCGTAGTGTGCCGGTTCTCATCGATCCCATACATGTGGGATACAATGTGAAATTTGAACCAGTTGAAGTGGGTGATCATTCTGTGGAGGTGCGCTTACCAGGTGGTGGCCATGTCGAAGGTAGTCCATTTTTGTTGAAAGCCTATTCCGCCGAAAAGGTGGTTGTCACCGACATTCGGCCCGGAGTTGTGGGTAAAAGTGTGAGTTTTGGCATTAATGCCAGCCAAGCAGGAGCTGGCAATTTGGAAATCATTGTGGCGGTGAATGGTAAAAATGTACCGAATTTTGTGCAATCGGAGGGTAATGCCCGTTTCAAGGTGAACTTTAAGCCCACAGAGGCAGCAGCCCACAGTTTGTCGGTGCGTTTCAATGGTCACCCAGTGCCCGGCTCACCATTTACTTGTCACATTGGCTCCGCGCCCATTAGTCTGCCAAGGGCAATTGCGACGGGAGAGGCATTGAAACAGGCCGCCATTAGGGTGGATAACACATTCGATTTGGATGGTTTCGAGGGTGTGGAACCACAGGTATTTGTCACCTCGCCCTCGGGAGATAATGTGCCGGCCCATGTGCAACATCAAGGTGGTGACTCCTACTCGGCCACATTCCGCCCGAATGTGGTGGGAAGGCATTTGATCAGCGTTACAGCATCTGATCAACATATCAATGGTTCGCCATTTTCTTGCAACGTGTTTGATGTTTCGCGGGTGACCATCAGTGGCCTGGAACAGCAGTATGGCCCGGCTGCATTGGGCATACCGGTGACATTCAGTGTTGATGCAGCCGGTGCAGGAGAGGGTACTTTGGAACTGGTGGTTTCCACAGATACCAGCACCGTAAAGGCTGAGGTTGTGGCATGTGCTCGTGGCCTCTATGATGTTACCTTTGTGCCGCAGTCCACAGAACCCCACTATGTGAACATCACATTCAATGAAATGCCTGTTGATGGTAGCCCCTTCCAGGTGGATATCCAGCAGACAGCTCAGACTATACAAATCGGTAGTTTGGCCATGATCGATTTCCCTTCGGATGATCAAATAGCGGAGATCATGGGACCCGATCACAAACCAGTTCCCTACACCATCAACAGACAGACCGCGGAGTTCCGTACCCACATGACGGGTAACTATTTGATACGATTTATTGATCGTGAAACACGACAACATGTTGGCACCCGAACGCTGACCGTTTTCGATCCATCACTGGTGAAAATTACCGAAGTTGGCGAGGCGTTGTGCCATCGTCCGGCCAGCATTTCGGTGTCGCTGAACGAGGCTGGTCAGGGCGATTTGTCGGCCTTTGTAAAATGTGGTGCTACCGAGGTTCCTCATACCATACGAGGCCCCACGAAGAATGGTGTCTATGAAATTGTCTATCATCCAACGAGGGTAGCTCCCCACAAGATTACGATACTGTTTAATGATGTACCGATATCGTTGAAACCGTTGGAGATAAATGTGTTGCCGGCCGGTGCTGGCAAGGAGATTAGCGTCAGTGGCCTTGGCTTGTATCAGGCCAGAGTGGGTAAGACCACCTCATTTGCCATTGATACCATTAAAAGACCGGCCAGGGAGTTTGATGTGGTGGTATCGGGTCCCGGTGGTCAGGCTCTGCCCGTGAGATGTTATCAAACCAAGAGTGGCCATTTGCAGGCGGAATTTACTATCAACAAACCGGGACAATGTATTATTGGTGAGTTGTGGGACATTTATTCTCCTTTCCATTTTTGTTAATTCTTTTCTCATTTTCCAGAGGTACTCCATCAGTCCAAACCCCTACCCGGCAGTCCTTTTACCTGCGAAGCCTTTGACACCTCCAAAGTATCCGTCCAGGGCATTCCCAAAGCACCCATGGCCCTCCACAGTCCCATTGCATTTACGGTGCGTACCGAAAATGCAGGTTTGGCAGAATTGGAAGCTTTTGCTGTGTCACCTACGAATCAAAATGTTCCCGTTCACGTTAACGAACAATCCGAGGGTATCTATAGCATTGAGTTCATACCCACTCAGCCGGGCAGCTACAAGCTGACACTGATGTATGGCGGGGAGACGTTGCCCAGTTCCCCATACACCTTTACAGCCTCAACAAATGGTGCTCGAACAGATTCACGTGCTGCCGGCAATGGTCTAGAAGTTTGCCATCGCAACAAGGAGGCCTCCTTCATTGTATATTGTCCCGTTCAGCCTAATGTCCAAATTGAACGTTCCGATGAATTTGGAGAACGAATTGAACCGAAAATCAAGCCGCTGGGAAATAATGAGTGGCGTATTTCCTACACCATTTTGACGGTGGGTCGTTATGAAATCCGCGCCAGTTGTCCAAATCGTGGTAATCTTCCTGGTTCTCCATGGCACATTTCCTGTGTGGAATCCAGTAAGGTCGCACCCGTTGGCGGCTGGGGTACTCTGCTGGATCATGAGGGTCGTCTTATTTTACCGGCTCGAATAGTTTTCGATGTAGAGAATGCTGGACCCGGTGAACTAAACTGTACCATTGATGGTGTTGAAATTCCTGTGGACAAGTTGCCAGATGGCAAATTACGTCTCTACATAAATGGCGATAATATGACACCTGGCGAACATGACTTGGAATTGACATGGAGCGGCCTAACCATAGTCCAGTGTCCACGCAGTGCCTTTGTCACCGGACAACAGGCGGCCGACAAGGTTGTTCTAACGGGCAGGGGTTTGGCTGCAGCCCAGGCTGGAGAGGCAGCCCATTTCACAATCGATGCCACCGATGCCCCAGCCGGCAGACCTGAAGTAATACTTGTGCATCAGGACAACACCTCAGTACCCGTGAGTTTGGCTCAACCCAGACCGAATGAAGCCATTTGGATGGCTTCCTATACACCACAGAAGTCGACATCAGGACCTCTTACCTTATCCGTCAAATGGAATGGTCGTTTAGTGAAGGGTTGTCCTCTAACTGTGGCCGTTGGTTCCTCAATGGATGCCTCAAAGGTCATATGTTCGGGTGAGGGTCTACGTCATGGTATTGTGGGTAAAGACATAAAATCATGGATTGATACTCGTCGTGCGGGTCCCGGTGAATTGACAGCCCATTGTGCAGGACCCCGTAAGGTGGCCTATTGTGAGCTATACGATCATGGTGATGCCACATTTACTCTGAATATTAAACCCCAAGAACCAGGACGTCATGTCCTGACTATTAAGTATGGTGGACAAAATGTACCCGGTTCACCATTTGCCCTTAAAGTGGCGGGAGCTCCTGATGCAAGCAAGGTAAGATATTTGGATATGGCATGAAGTAATGGGCGGAAAATAAAATCGTTTGTGTTGGAATTCTAGGTACGTGTCTATGGTCCCGGCATTGAACATGGTGTTCTGGCAACTTTCCAATCCCGTTTCATTTGCGATACCCGTGGTGCTGGTGCTGGCCAATTAACAGTGCGTGTACGTGGTCCTAAGGGGGCTTTCCGTGTTGAAATGCAAAGAGAATCGCAAAAGGATAGGACAATACTGTGCAAGGTAAGTGAAGACGTTAAAAGCGAAGGAGCAAAGAGAAAATCCACAGCGGTTAAGTACCGATTCCTATTTACAGAAAATAACTCCCCGGACACTGAGGAAAATTTTTTTTGGAAAAATTCCTCGAAACCGAGGACCATTTTTTTTACAGAAAAAAAAAATCCTCAGAAATTGAGGACCAATTTTTCCCATAGAAAAAATCCTCAGGCAACTGAGGACTAGGTTTTTTCTATAGGCAAAAATCCTCAGTCAACTGAGGACCAAGTTTTTTTTTTATAGAACAAAAATCACCATTGAGGACCAAGTTTTTTCTATAGAAAAAAATTCTCAGCCGACTGAGGTCCAAGTTTTTTCTATAGAAAAAATTCTCGGCAAACTAAGGTCCAAGTTTTTTTTTATAGAAAAAAATCCTCTGCAAACTAAGGTCCAAGTTTTTTTTCTATAGAAAAAAATCCTCTGCAAACTGAGGTCTAAATTTTTTTCTATAGAAAAAAACCTCTGCAAACTGAGGTCCAAGTTTTTTTCTATAGAAAAAAAAAATACTCAGCAAACTGAGATCCAATTTGGTTTCTGAAACCAAATGAGCTCCAATTTTTTTCTAAAGCAACAAATTCTCAGCCAAATGAGCTCCAATTTTTTTTACTATAGAAAAAAATTTCCGTAATATAAGGATCGATTATTTCTGAAGAAAAAAAAAATATCAGTTGCTGACGAGGGAGTTGAGGACTCTGAAATTGATGTCCATATTTTTTAAATGTGTTCTAATTTTTTTCTTATCATTTCTAGTACGATCCCACCGAACCTGGTGACTACCGAGTGGAAGTAAAATGGGCCGGTGAATTCGTACCCGGGTCACCATTCCCCGTCATGATATTCGACACCGAAGAGGAGCTACGAAGGTTTCTTCAAGGTATATGAGGCCAACACAGCATCAGCACCATTATATTGCCAAACCCTGCCCTCAATCTCCCACAACATCATATGCAACACCAACAACAACAACATCATAATCAATTAGCCCACCATCAACAAGCATCGAATGCAGCCACACCCATTCTACCGCTATTTTCCCATCACCAGCAAACGCTTCTACGCCTATCACCGTTATATTTGAATGGTAACGGTCTGGGCGGGTATATTGGCGGTGGAGGTGGTGGCGGCGGCAGCAGCGGTATTGCCGTTTGTTTTGGCGACAATAGTAGCCGTGCTGCCAGTCAACAGTATCTAAGTAATCCGGATTTGACCTATGACCTTGGTGGCTCACGTTCTTGTCTAAATCGTAGTCGATGTCGGCAAGAGTCGAGCTGCACCATACTTTGACGTACGAGTATGTGTGCGAGTTCTTTGGTAAAAGAGCTGCACACACAGAATTTTTGTTATCTTATAACGTTAACCATACATTACACCTAACAAGTATATTTATAAACAATAGATTGTATTTCATACAACTACAACGAAACGTTTTTCTTGTAAGGCAAAACAGATTTTGTTATTAAGAAATTATTTTTAAAAAAATCAATTTTTTAAAATGCTTTAATTTAAAAGGATGAACAAATATATATTCCATAATAATTTATCATTATTTTTCTTTTTGTTTTAAACGAATCTTTATTTTCGTTTATTATTTTTTTTTGTCGTGACTAACTCTTAGCTTTAATAATGAGTTTTACTATAACAAAAAATTACATTTTTTATTTTATAATTGTATGCGTGTTATTATTTTTAATAATATGTCATACATATACACTTATACACTTTAAACAATTATATACGCTCTTTTAACGATGCTACAATATGTTTGTTTATATATACACACACACAATTATATATTTAATTAAATTAAAAATAATACAAATTTTTCTATTCAATAAAGAAAATTATTTTATTTGAGAAATACATATTTTTATTAATTTAACTAAGAGCGTGCAGGAAATTCTTTTTTGTGGCAGTAAATATTCATAAACCAATACAAAAAGTCTTAAAGTCGGGCGGGGCCGACTTTATGATACCCTACATCACTTTGCTAATTTAGTAGAGCTCAGCATAACAATTAAAAGTTTTTATGGGAAAATTCAATCATACACGCTATGATTATAATTAAAATATAAAGTTCAATGGACTAAATATGCCGAAGCATTAGTATCTTTTAAATACGGACTTGTATTGCCCATTTGGTGCACAATTAATTTGAAATCGGATAAATATATATGGGAGCTATATCCAAATCTTGAAGAAGCTTGTATGCCAAATTTGGTGAAGATCGGTTCAGATATGGCTATAGCTCCCATATATACTGTTCATTCGATTTGTTATATTTGTTACCCACAGCCGTAATATCCACTCCGTAACAACGATAGTCAGGGAAATATATCAAATACAGCTCAGAAATATGCTTGCCAAATTTTATCGAGATCGGTTCCGATTTGGATATAGCTCCCATATATATCTTTATCCGATTTCAAATTAATTGTGCACCAAATTGGCAATACAAGTCCGAAATTAAAAGATACGATACGAAACTTTAAATTATAATTATAATCATGGCGTGTATGATTGAATTCTCCCATAAAATTGTTATGCGGAGCTCTACTAAATTAGCAAAGTGGTGTAGGGTACCATAAAGTCGGTCTCGCCCGACTTTATGACTTTATTTACTGGTTATACCCTACAACACCTCGAAATATTGGTTTCCCACATATGGGAAAGTATATATGGATCTTCCTAGCTCGCCGAGATGAGTCGATCTAGCTATGTATGTCCGTCCGTCCATGTTAATTTGTAATCACGCTACAGGTCGCAATTATGGCCCGATCCTAACGAAATTTTGCACGAAGGTGGGGTTAAGGTCAGAATAATTATTATTTATTTCTTTTGGAGATGATCGCCAAATGTTTAGGGGTTGAAATGGACAAAATACTGAAAAAATGTCGGATTTTGCAGAAGCTATACAGGTCGTAATTACAGACCAATCGACGCGGAATTTCGCATGTAGCTGGAGTTTAGGGAGGGAAAGAAGCCTACCAATTTGGGTGGTCATCGGATAATATTTAGCGGGTAAAATAGACCATATCTTTTGTATTGAAAAAATTCAAAATTTTTCATCAAACCGCGAATATTTTAAATCCCGGCGAAATCACAAAGCCATGACAAGGTTACTTCTGATCTTTACATTGATGTTAACATCCAACAAATCGGATATATAGCAAAATATGTGCGATATATATGTCTATCAAAGAAGATATGCTTGAAAGATTTCTTATATGTCGAGAACGGCTGAACTGATTTCGACAGTTCTCATTAATTCAGAATGGCCTCTTGGCGGGAAAGAAAAACGTCTAAAAAACGCATACAAATATCTCTCTAAAGATGAAAATATTGATTTTGTAACATTTTCTCATATTTTTTCAATTTTTTCATATTTTTGGCATATTTTCATTTTGAATTAAACATTTGGTAATATTTCTGCAGCTTACAAAACTAAGTAGTTAGGATATCAGGATATCATACACAGATCGCATTTTTGGCCCGATCCTTGCAAAATTTTGCATGGGGATAAGATGAGGGTCAGAATAGAAGCCTACTCTTTTTGGAGATTATCGCCATATATTTAGGGGTTGAAATGGACCAACAAAACTGCAAAATTGTCAGGAGGTCGTAATTATCGCCCGATCCTCACTCACATTTGAATGGGGGTTACCGGACATTGCAAAAGCCAAGCAGTTTTAGATGGCCATCCAAAAATATTCAATGTGTGAAGAAGTTTGCCAACTTTTGTAGACAAAATACGAAAATGTCCATTCCAGTGACTTTTTGGAGAATTCGCAAATACAGGAAAGACGCACTTCTGACTATTTCGTTAACTCTGATTTCGTTGAAGAATATAGTCAAATGTCTATATCTCATATAGATGCATTTCAGTCAAAAACCAATAATAAATGTTAATCTTTTGTCACTTCTGAGAGATTATAGGTCTTTGGGGAATATTGGTTCCAGATCTAGGAAGACCATTGTATAAATAAATTGGAAATGGGCAAATTAGTTTAAGTTGCTATTATTCGAAAATTAGAGAACGAAGCCTGATGGTTTTCTTTTACTATTTGTCACAATATCTTGTGGAATTCTTTCGAGTATCTCGCCTATATAAACTGTATCGTTTTTTATAGTGTTGTAGGGTATTCAACGGTCGGCCCCGCTCGACTGTAGCTTTTGCTTACTTGTTTTAATATCGATTTTTGCCGAAAACAGTCGGATTTAGTGAAACAAATGAATACCAACTTCTGTTTGGTTGAAATTCGAAAAATTATTCATGTTCCTCGTTTAGTTCCAGTACATATTCCGGCTGTCAGTTATAAAATACGCCAGATTTTCTTTCTAAAATTCCATTTAATATCTTGTATCGAGGTTACAATTTACCATATATAGCCGAAATCGTTAAACCTATTTATCAATTTTCCCAATATTTTTGATCTTTCAATAGTAAAATACCATTTGATAGCTTTTTGCAATTAAATGTATTTATTTGAATAAAAATAATCCCTCTTGGTCGACAAATTATCCTATCAAAAATTATTATTTAAATTCATTTCCACTTAATGACTCTTTACCGATACATAACTGGTGGCTTTTCCGTGGCCAGAGTGGCTGTATTCGCTATGTCCGTGATGACCATAATCGTGGTGACTTTGTTCGTCATGGTGGGCATGACCAATTTTATGAACGGTGGCCTCAAAACCGTTCTTCTTATCGGAAGAGTAGTTCACAACACGAGTTGTTCCATCGGATTCTTTCAGGGAGTAGCTTCCTGAAAGCAAAAAAAATATATATAATTATTCCACTTCACAGACAAAATTATTATTTAAATTCTTACCCTTAACTTTATCGCCATCTCTGGATTCCCATTGGTCCTTGACATCACCGGTTTTTGAGTCCTTAACGCCATATGAGAATTCATATTCAGGATAGCTATGATAATCATGGCTGTCATCGTGATGACCGCTACCATAACCACCAGCATGACCATGATGTTCAACATGTCCATGATATTCGGAATGATGACCATAGCCATGATCGTCATAACCATGACCATGGTGTCCCCCATGACTGTCTTCGTGTTTGGTTACAATGGCATAACTTGAAGCCTTGCCATGGCCATGATCGTGAGGAGCTGCCTCAATAAGGGTAACACCAATAACTAGTAGAGCAATGAAGGATATAAAGGAACGCATTTTAATATTTTTGTTCTTTGAAGTCCAGTGGGAAACTGATACTGCATTAAGAGTTTGCTTGCGAATTTATAATCGAAAAACCAACTAATGGCTTATGACTAACTAAACTTTTGGCATGTGACTTTCTAATCAGCTGCTATGCAATTGTTAAAATATTCGCTTTAAGTGTTTTGACCAACTATTTTGGCAGTGCAGAAAACAAGGTCATTACCAATGTAGTGAAGGTCAAGATTACCTACTGGCATGCCTTTCACTCGAAGTTTATCGTTTTGTTAGTTCTTATACTAACAAAACCATTAAAATGACTTCATTTAGGTTTATACTTTGCTGCAGTTTAAGAAATCTGTTACTATGAAATTAGATGTGTTTATTGTTTAACTGCTTTATTTTTGTGGAGAGTAGTTATTGTCATATTTCATACAAAAAGAATTTGTTACACATTTGCAAAAGATTAAATGTGTATTTACTAAGTCATTTTGCTCTGGAACTATGCGGTTTGATGTTATTTTGATTACGAATTAACATCAAAATAACGTTACACATATCTCAACACTTTTGGTTAAAACTAAAAATTAAATCTTTGAATAAATGGTCGCTTCCTATTAGAAATACTATAAATGAGAATTGCAAAATGTTGCTCTATTTTTTATACCCTGCACCACATAGTGGTAAGGGTATTATGTCTTTGTGCATTTGTTTGTGACATGGAGAAGGAAGCGAGATAGACACATAGTTACTTTTGAGGATCTCTGATTTGATTTATGCATCTTTCTGATTTGATTTATGCATCTCAGTCCGTTCGTCTGTCCGCCTGTCTGTCCATGTATTCTTGTGAAAAAAATGCAGGTCGCATTTATTATCTGATTGAGGTGAATTTTTCCAAACAACATTTGTTTGGCCCAAGGACGAACCCTATTGAAATTGGAGATTATCGATAAAAATTTAGATATAGTTCCCATATATACAGGGTTGCCCAGGCTTGTTCGCAGGCAACATTCTTTGCGTCAATTGAATTTTGTACGGCAACAAATGCAAATCAATGCGAATAATCCGTTGTAAAGTGGACCGAACCATGCCCAACTGCTGAGAACGACGTTTTTGGGATGTTCTTGGGGACCTCTCAACACTGGCTCGTACGGCAGCGATATTCTCGGCCGATCGCCTTGGACGACTTTTATATATGGCCTCTTCGGATTAGAAAGAGTCGTAAATTTTTCGTATAAGCGCTTAATGGCGTTCTCTCACATTTTTAATGTTTTAAAAGCATGTTGAGTTTTCACAATTGACTTCTTCTGTTCAATGTAAATTTCAACTGTTTCAGAGAGCTCGCGTGGCGTGTATTGGTTCATGGTAAAAATCTGCTTGGACTGACGCTTCAAACGCGGTATGTCATTAAGCGATGTGACATCTCTGTCAAAAGTTATGGCGTTGCCAGATGGGTCCGTCGAATATGGGCAACCCTGTATCTTCGTCTGATTTGCCTTTTATTGTGCACCAAGCGTGTAATATCAGCCCGAATAGTT